ACGGAGGTGAACGTGTCCGATAGACCCGTGACTCAACAGGGTATGATGGGAATGCGTGTTGGCACTGCCGGACCTGGTCGACAGGTCCAAGACGCGTCGTTCTTTAAAGGAAAGCTACATAGTAAGACAGCGGAGATCACGAGTGAGATCGAGAAGCTACAGCGAGAAATTGAGCAGGACGCTAAGGATAAGGCGCAATGTGCTCAACTGGAGCGTAAATACGAGACTATGGCGCTCGAAGTGCGCGACTTGGAAGGCCAATTGGCCGACTATAACTTGGCAATGGACAAGATGCGCAGCGCCACGGACCCGGCCGAGATCCGCCAGGTGCAGGAGCAATTGCATCAACGCAATGCTAAAGAAGCGGAAGACGTGGATCGGGTCTTCTTGATGAATAAAGAACAGGAGAAGAGTGTGCGTACGATGGAGACTGAGATGACGGAGATCCACGGCAAACATCAGGACAAGATCAACCAATTGGCACCGCAGAAGCTGCAGCGTTATAAGGAGTTACTAGAGGAACATCATCAATCCGAAGTGGAGATCGAGGCTCGATCCCAGGAACTGGAACTGGTCATGCACGCGATCCACCAGAAGGAAGCCGAGCTGAGCTCCGACCGCTACAGGGACGAGTACGAAGCTCTGGAGCGTCAAGTTCGCCGTCTCCAGAAGGAGCGCGACGCTGCGGCTGAAGACGCCAAGACGGCGCAGATGGATCCGAACGAAGCTCGTGCGGTGTTGCTAGCTAAGGTGAAGGACGACAAGGCCAAGATGGAGGCTCTAGAAGGCGTATTACAGTCCGCAGCAGCCGAGAAACAGGAGCTGACCAAAGCGTTGGCTGACGTTCAGAGCGAATTGGACGAACGTGCAAGCGGTAGCGACCCAGCTCACAAATACGAGGCCTTGTTCGCTAAAGACAAGGAGATGACGACGTTTTTAGAGCAATTCCCAGCTAAAAAGGAGGCCGAGATGCAAGCTCAACATACAGCTCAAGGCGTGATCGTACAGTTGCTGGAGCACATTTCAGCAGGTATGGCCAAGGAGGATAAACTACCGGGTACGAACGCTGCAAACCTCGAAGAAATGCGACGCGACTTGACGTTTAAAGAGCGACAACTCGAGTCTTCCGTCACGACCAAGCAGCGCTTGACTATGGAGCTACAAAAGCGCCAAGCTGAGCTTGATAAGGTCAATACATTGGACGCCAAGATCGCGCTGGAACTCAGTAGTCTGTTGCAGAAGATGGACACTATGACGACCGACATGGTCGAGTTCGGGAAGATCGACTCGCTCCAGGAAGTGCACGCACAGACCAAACAGCATTTGCTGCGTTTGAAGAAGCAGTACATTGGCCGTCGCGATGCTATGCGCCAACAGGTCACGGCATTGAGCACTCAACTGGAGAATTTGGTGCACGAGACAGCTCAACAGGAGACAGCCAAGAATTTGGACGCACTGGAGCAGAAGCTGCGTCATCATGAGCAGAACATTTTCCACTTGAAGGAATACATCGACTCCAAGTCCAGAGAGGTCGACTACGAACACCTCAAACAAGATTGCTTCCGTACGCTCCAGGAACTCAACACGCTTCATGTGGCGCAGCAACAGCGTCAGCAGCAGCTCAACCTTGGGATCGCAGGAGGACTTTAAAAAAAATTAGGCCATGGAGACTTGTATGAGTTAGAAAGGTTTAATATCATTTGCATTTGCTACTTTACTACTCCGAAGTACTTAGTACTCAGTGAGCACTACTCACAAACAATGGTTAAACGAGAGCCATTTCAAAGTGCATTAAAAAACTTGTAGTACTACTACATGTAGTAGTAAGACGGAAAATTCATTTCCCAGTTATTTTTCAAAATAAAATATCCCACAGTGAGCTAGCTACCCCGCTTTATGCGTTCACCATTGCGACGTTGACGTCGTTTTGGTGCACTAAATCTGCCTTGATAGCTTCGCTCTCCTCTGTTTTCCCAGATGTGTAACCCAACGAGCTCGTAGTCGAAGAAGGAGTCGTTCGATCGGTGATACTGTCCACAGTGCTCTCGGTATTCCTAGTGCACATACTCTGAGACGTCACCATCGGCTTCTCGGGGCTCCCAGCATCCTCATTCCCGACACTAGCCGTAGTGGACGAGTCCTCCTCTGCAACTTGAGGGAGTGTGGACCCCGGAGCAGCGAATAGACCCTGGAATGCCTCAAAGTCCACATACCCATCGCCCTTAGTATCAACCGACGCAATCATCTCCTTGACCTCCTCCGCTACCATCGAGTTCTTGAACACATCCTGCAGTCCGACAAGCGACAAACGGCCCTGTTTCTGGCCGTCTAGAATGCCGAAAGCCTCCTTAATCGTACTCTGTCCAATGTCACGTTGGTCCATGACAGCAGCAATGAACTCCAGGTAGTTAATGTGGCCGCTTTTCGACTGATTAATGCGCGTGAAAAGCTCCCCAGCATCGGCATTCGAGACTCCACACTCCACTAGAGCGCTGCAGAACTCATCCCGCGATACAGAGCCTTTCTTGTTACGGTCCATCGAGTGGAAGACCTCGGCTGCCATTTCTTGTTGAATATGGTCCTCCGAAATCCCCAAAGCCACAGATAGCAACGCTGCTTGTTTCATTTTTCGACATTGACTGAAGCTCAACATGTTGGTTAGTAACATGCACTTGTCGCTCTGCAGACGTGCAGCACCAGAGCCATCTGCACTCGCCATTTCTCCTTCATTAAGCCATTTGTGATCCAAAGCTTGTTCGGCTGAGAGTCGCTGGTCCACATTTTCCTTCACTAATGACTTGATGAAAAGGATTGAAGCAGGAGAGAATTTCGACCACACGTCGTTCTCAAAGATCAACACTCCGTCGTAGATGTTGCCCATGGTCTCGTCGATCGTCGCTGCGTGGAATGGAGATACCCCGGTGAGTAACTCAAAGCAAATGACTCCGACACTCCAGAGATCGCACTTTTCGTTGTAGTCTCCGTCTAGCACTTCAGGAGCGACGTAGTCGATCGTTCCCAATGGTTTTTCAAGCTTCTCACCGCGTTTAAAGCGTGTGCTGAGACCGAAATCACACAGACGGAGAGATCCCGGGTTCTCGGCGTTCTCTAGTAGCAAATTCTCGAGCTTTAGATCTCGATGCGTGATGAAATTCGAGTGCAAGAAAGCTAGTGCTCTGAGTAGAGCACGGATGATCTTCCGTACGTCGTTCTCGGAGAACGTGCGGTGTTCCTGGTACAGATGATCGTACAGCTCTTTGCCCTTGCAGAGCTGCATGATCATGTACATGTGCTCTTTGTCTTCGTACGAGGCGATGACTCGCACGATCTGTGGGTGATGCAGTCGCTTGAGGATGTTGATCTCGTTGCGTAGTGCGTCCCGGTCCACTTCGTTGCTCAAGGCAACAACCTTGACGGCCCATTCCTTGCCAGATTTTTTACTCACGGCGTGTTTGACGCAGCCGAAGTGGCCCGTGCCGATGGTGGCGTCGAACTCGAAGAACTCGTTGATGTCGTCCACGTACTTGTGCTGGATGAGGTCGGACGTCAGGTCGTCACGCAGACTGCCGCGTGCTTCTCGCTGGGTCGGCGCAGCGGTGGAGCCCACGACGGCGTCGGCTTTGGACTGACGGCACCCCATTGTTTATTGTTTTTTTTTTCCTTTGCAATGTAGGAATGAAAGCTCCGACTGCACAGAAGAGAGAGAAGACGGTAAGATTTAATTAAATGGCAGGGGCGAGGCAATGCGCTCCGTTGGGTAAAAATACAATGTGCTTCCCACCAGGTGCCAAATATAGCCCGGCTCAGGGACCAAGGTCTCCGAAGATGTGGTGGTCTGGTTGTTTTGCTGCCGTGCGTCACGCCACCTGGAGCTTTTTCTTGGCTCTGCTTGATCGAGGACTTTACACTCTCTCGATCGACGTTGGTTCTTGCTGCTCAACGGCAGATTGAAGACTGAAAGGCGACGGCAGCGTAGCGTTTGCGCGGCTTTCTCAAGAGTGAGCGACACGTTACGTAAACTTCATGTTTGTATGGGGTGTCAGAGATGGACAGAAGGGAAGGTGGCCCTTTGCTCCACGAGCCATTTGCTTGCTGGTCAACGGGATTCCTCCAGGTGGAGCTATTTGGGCCCTACAATGCAGCATGCCAATGTGTTAGTGCTCTCATATGCAAGGCTATGCTGGATTCTCCCAGTGGTTTGTCTCGTTTTGAGACGGACGCGTTCATCGTCCGAATTGAAGCGATGAACACCAAGCATTCTGATCTAGAAAAGCATTGCGCCACGTATTCTATTGGTTTCGATGAGTCACTCGTATTGTTCTCTACGACGTGGCGGTGAAGTTAAACTTGAAGTCGCTGTTCGGTGGTTCCTCCGTCGCCACTGCCGTCTTCTTGCGCATCTCGCGCTGTTTAATCGCCGCCAGGTTCCGCCGTCCCTGGCCGTATCGAAGGTGCATCTTGGCTACTTCGGACTCGGTGCCTGTTGCTTTACGGAGTTTTAGGAACGACGACCCCGTCGGTTTGACTGTCGTATTGGTCACCTGCTGCTTTGGCGCCGATCGCTTAGAATCCTTTGCATTGCCCCGTTGTGGTGCTGGCGTCACTGGAACGGTCGATCGCTCGGTCGTAGGAGCCGCTTCCTCGGTGTTCGTTGCTGCTTCGATCTGCGCCTTCTTGGCTCTCCTCTTCTTGCTGCGCTTGCGATTCCGATCGCGCTTTTTGTCGCTCGTCTCAGCGTCTTCGGCAGAGATGCTAAAGTCAAATTTGAACACGGTTTCCGCTGCCTTGCTGGCTGCCTCCAGGATCTCTTCCGGTGTGGCCTCCTCCAGCTTCTCGCCGCGCTCCTCCATTTGCTTCACAGTAGCCATGATTCGCCGCTTGGCCTCGAAATGCGCGGCCAGTGGCGCGCCTGCCGGCGCATCCTGAGTCCCATTCATGTTTGTCTAGTGGAGTGTAGCTTGAATGGGCATTTGGTATATACTCTAATGATAGCACCATATTACTGCGCATCGACGAGAGCCCAGTAGCTATCATTACCGAACACTTAATTCGTACTTAGTGTACTCAATCGTTGGTAGGCACCAATCGCGACTATGACGCTCGTATTCCTTGGGAACTCCGGTACGTGCTCCTTTGCTTGTATTGTAGCGTAAAGGCCTTAACCTAGGAAAGTAGCAGCATAATCTACCGCGCACGCGTTCTGCCTAGCTGTCGACCAATTTTTATTCTCCGCACATGCCTGTGGACTGAGAAATTATGATGTCCATGTTGGTTTCCAGCGCTTCGACGAGTGTCTAAGTCGGTGGCCGATGTGCGCGCCCCGGCAGTTCGGAGACTGCTGGAAGACTTGGACAAGGAAGTGGTACGTATTAAGTATCTGTCTACGTCTTCATACTTGAGTTAATATTGGCTTGGATCGCAGCGTGTGGAGGCTGGAGTGGGCATCGCAGCACCGCAGCTCGCTCACAACCTGCGCATGTTTTTGATGATCAAGAACATGCCGGAGAACGAGGATGATCTGAGCAATTTGGAGTACCAGGCGGTATTGAACCCGGAGATCGTAGCCATGTCCAAGTCGACCAAGCGCGACTTTGAAGGCTGTTTGAGCGTGCCAGGCTACCAAGGCATTGTCAAGCGTGCTGAGGAGATCCGGGTGCAGTACCAAGACGCAGAAGGCCGCAAGATCCAGGAGACATTGACGGATTTCCCTGCTCGCGTGTTCCAACACGAACTCGACCACCTCAACGGCGTCATGTACCTGGACCGCATGGAAACCGGTAGCCTCATTCACAACGAAGAGTTCGAGGCAATGGAGTGGCTAGACATTCAGAAGCTGCTGTTGCAAGGACCCCCAAAGATCCCTCCTCTCATGGTTCCTACGTCCACACAGACCGGTAACACTCGTCAAGGCAAGGGCAAAGGCAACCGTAGCAACAAGTACTAAAGATCACCATAGTCACTTGGAATTTCTTGTCCTTAATCGATAATGCTTTTTAGAAAAAGGTTAAACAAAATACTTGTCAGACCCTCGTTGGGCCGCCTCGAGCCATGCACTGTGGCCTGACTTCCCTCCCTTTTTAATGTGCAAAGCTCTGCTTAGCGGTGGGATGTAGTTCGCAGCGAGGAGTGTTACCGCTGCAACCAGCGCCAAGAACGTCGTCGCATAACGGAGTTTCGTCAGGAACGTTGTCTTGTAGAACGTGTACCCATTGATCATATTCTCTATGCATTCCATCCTCATAGTGATCGGTGTCATGTAGTTCGCTCCATACTCGGCTCTTGCCAGGTAACTCGCATTTCTCGGCACAGTCACAGGAACATTCAGGAAGAACGCCGGCTCCTCGTGAAGCGGCAGCACTTGGTCGTACAACAACCACTTCCCTCTTATAGTACGGTCGTCATTGACCAGCCACTTCGTGCCGCTCTCCTCGTCTACCTCTTCTCGATAAAACCAAATATCTGCGTGGGAGCCCTTGGTTGCTTCGTCCAAGTAAATCTGCACGAGTTCCCGTTCCGTGTGGTACACCACATACACAGGCCTCTGCAGTTCCATATAAGCCTCACGCCGTACAACTTCCGAAAAGTTACTGACGCTGCCGAATTGCTGCATGAAGTCCGTCTTGACCACGCCAATGTCCGAGTCTGTGTCTCCTACGGGGATGCGGCGCTGGCCGCGCATGACGAACAGCAAGTTGCCGAATGCCGCCCAGTACGGCAAGTGGGCGCGTGTACACAGCTGGTAGACGAATCGAGCCAAGTTCTCGATCTCGTAGCGGAACACGGCGCTATTAGGGCAGCCACGCGAGTGGTAAACCTCGAGTGAGACCCCCAAGACGGCAAGTATCGCGCTGAGTATCAGCAGCCCCCACAGTAGGTATAGTCGCTTGGTGCTCCGTCGAGAGACATCACCGAAGTGCACACGCCAGCGAGGATGCACCAGCGCTCCAAGAGCAGCCACGGGCGCGGCCAGAGCCAGCAGGAACCAGTTGCCGTCAGCAATGAAGGAGGGCAGCAGCACCGTCATGGATAGTTTCTGACAGCGATTCAGTTATCGAATTTAGAACGCCATGTTTTAGAATAAATTTGAAACAGCAACGGAATGTTAAAACACAACAAAAAACATTCTAGCGCGTCGAAAAAGTTTTTTTTTCAGGAGCTCTTTGAATCTGCAGAATGAGCGACTTCGACGACGAAGACTTCTCTCTAGGCGAGGACTCAGAGGACGAGCCGTTCGACGAGGCAGAGAATGAAGAAGACTTCGCTAGTGCCAGCGACGAGTCGGACCTGGAAGAACTGGCGCCCACGCCCAAGAAGGCGCGTGTGTCACCCAAGAAACCCATAACGAAAAAGGCACCACCGCCCAAATCCAAAGCAACCGCGAGCTCCAGTTCATCTGTGAAGAAGACGACGACATCGAAGGCTGTCAATTCGACCAAGGCCAAGTCTCCGGCTACTGCAGCCAAGAAAGCACCAAAGCCGAAGCCCATGAAGGCAGAAGACGCCGAGGCTGCCGTGCTGGATTACATGCGCAAGGTCTGAGTGCAATTATTACTGAGGAGCAAGAAATGTTTTGCAATTGTAGGTGTGCTGACTGCTAATATTGTGAAATTCGCAGACGAATCGGCCGTATAGTCTGCTCAATGTGTTCGAGAACATGCACCGAGCTATTGCCAAGCCGTCGCTGACGAAGCTGCTGGACAACCTCGTGGCCAAGTAAGAATGCAATTATAGTCATGTAAAAGAGAATCTTCTAATGTGATGACTATAATTCAGAGAGGAGCTGGTGAGCAAGACGTATGGCAAGGCCAAGATCTACTACATGAACCAGAATAACTTGCCTGTGCCGTCGGAAGAGGAGCGTCTGGCTATAGAGGAGCAGATTAAAACCATCTCTGCAGAGTGTACTGCATCAGAGCAAGAGCTGAAGAGCGCAGAGGCGACGCTTTCAGGCATTACCACTCAGATCTCGGATGCAGATTTAGATGCTGCTTTGAAGCAGCTTGACGAGGAAGCTGCAACCTTAGAGAAGAAAGTGGAGACGTTGGATCAACCTGGCCGAGCCCCTGTGTCGCCTGGCAGGAAAGAAGCACTCAAGGGAAAATTCACCAAATTCCGCGTACGTCTCCTAGCTTTTGTTTGCTTGAATTGGTAACATATTGACATCTCTTTTGTGAAGACGGCGTGGGTACAACGGAAGCGCATCGCGATGGATGGAATTAACCAGATTGCCGACGGAATGGAGAAGAAACCGAAAGCTGTGTTGGATCTGGTCGGTGTGGAGACAGATGAGGAGGCAGGCGTGAAGGCACTGCCAACTATTTAACTCGGTTGGATCGTTCATTGTCTTTACTTAAGTAAGTATTTGACGTTGTTATCCTCGAAGACGCGCCTTGCGTTCCGCAATCTCACGCTCGCGACGGTCTTTCAGGCATTGTTTGTATCGGTCGAAGAAGGGTTGGCACGCGTTCTTATTGTCTTCATTATCTGCAGTAGAGAGCGATAATAAGTAGATGCACCGCTTATTATGGGACAAGTGATCTCACGTACTGATGAGGCAGTTGAGCGACTCGCGTTGCAACTTGGCGCACTCCTGGTAGAGCAGGGCGAATGCACCACCATAGAGTAGTGTGAGTATGCGCACTACAGCTGCGGTGCTGGAGATAGGGAGGTATGTGCACGTACAGCGTTGTCGAACTTGGTAGGCTGCATGTCGAAGTCGATGTGGCCCCTTGATTAGGTTCTGTATACCGGTATTATATCGGTATCGACAAATTACCAGAAAATGACCCAAGTTGAAAGATTGTGCTTTCAATGCGAAGATGCATCCGATGCTGAAGGTTTTCGATATGTTGCGTCGACAATGATTCTGGCCAAGGCGGTTGAGTTGCGGCTACCATATCCGACTAATCCACTTCGAGCACCGTCGACACACCGGAACGCCCGATGGTTGGGAGTTTCGCCGTCACCAATCGAATGCTGCTTGACCGGGGATCCTTGCCTTGAATTGCCAAGGTCTTCGCTGCTACTGAATATTGCTGTCTGTGTCAGCTCATCTTGGCTTGTTTAGGACAATCAACGTGGCATCAGCATACCAACGTCGCACGAAACCGCCACAATACTGACACTAGTGATCCCAACACCAAAGTGCGAAGAAGCAAGAGCAAGTGGAAGCTTCTTGTGTACACCGAGAAGTGCGATGGAAACCATGGGATGCGGTGGATGCAAAGTGTGCTACGTAGATTTCTTTTCTGTCCCAACGGCCTCTCCAGACCCATTCCTCAATTCGCTCCACAAGACCAAAGCCACCTCTCTACCAACCACTTACTCGCTCAACAATGAAAGTCTCTACGATTCTCACTTTCGCCATCACGGTCAAAACTGCAACAGCGCAGACTCTCATTATTACAACCGATGACTGCTCGTCTTGCTCCGTGGGAACGTACTGCACGACCTCGCTTCCACAATGCCATGAGCCACCCATGGAAGACGCGTGCTTTAACTCTACCATCAACGAGTACCAGCTCGGCTGTGCGGAAGGCTACGACTGCTTCGACAACATGTGCGAGTGCGTCATTGACGATTCAGGCCTAACGCCAACCCCGGCTACCGAGGCTCCGACAAGTTACCCTACAACTGCCCCAACAACTGCCCCAACAACTGCCCCAACTACAGCCCCAACTACAGCCCCAACTACAGCCCCAACAACAGCCCCAACAATGGCCCCAACAACAGCACCAACAACAGCACCAACAATGGCCCCAACAACAGCACCAACAGTGGCCCCAACAACAGCACCAACTACTGCCCCAACAACCGCCCCAACGAATGCACCGATCCCCGAGTCTGCCGGGTTTTACTCTCCATGTCCAACCGGAACGTACTGGGAGATCGGAGCTACAGCTTGTCGAGGACCTAGCTATGCCGGCGAGTGCTACAATCCCGCCACGGCCAAGTACCAGAACGGTTGCGCTGCTGGCTTCACGTGCATCAACAACAAGTGCTCGACAATTCCACCAGCAACATTCCCTCCCTCCGTGTGCTATGTGAAGTGCACCGAGTCGGACGAATACTGCGAGAATGGTACCAACTTCTGTCGTGGACCAAACTACGCGGGCGAGTGCTTCAACCCGGCAACTGGGCGCTACCAGAACGGATGTGGAGCAGGATACGAGTGTGCCAACAACATGTGCGTCAGAGCCTAAGCATCGTCCAGTACACAAGCTGCGGAGAAGTGCTTGTCAACGACCGCACTTACATTAACAATAACTGAATTTCACTAAATTCAATGCATTCAGTTCAGTTCAGTTCATTCGCAGTTGGTAGATCTTCCTTGTCCACGATGCGAGCGAACGGGAACGGACCCACGAACTCATAGTGGTTCTGCTTGCGCGTCGACTTCTCCACGTCGCTGTAGTCCAGACCAGGGTAGGACGCCTTGTTCGCGGCGTACGACTGCGCGTGCCACTCGATCTCGAAGTTGTTGACGTAGAAGTTGCCGAACTGCGCCTTGTATTGCTGCTGCACTTCGTACGGGTAGAAGTAGAAGCCGCACACGTCCGGGTCGTTCTCACGCACTTCGTCCGCCACGGGTGACAACACGTACGCGAT